TTCTACTTAACAAGGTTAAGAGCTTTAAATATTGTAATCAATACTCAAAACTAAATAAAGTTCAAATTTTTATTTATCACAACACAAAGCAAATTGACTTAAGACACATGTAACAAGATTCATAGCACGAAGAGAACTCATTCACACAATCAGTTAAGATGTATAACAGATTTGCTACAGGATAAAGTTGCGAACTTTATTATATTCTGCATCGTTTCTAAATTGGTACGACGAATCCATGAAGGTAAGAAGTCGATAAGTTATATTACAGACAAATTCAATGAAAGATCTATTAGAACTAAGATGAGATACAAAGCAAAACAGGACAAGAGAGCCACCGTGTGTTCTGTCGGAAAATCAAAGTAGTCCAATTAAATACCTGAAAAAGGCTCAAACTTGGAGACAGGGGAAGAGGGTAGAGCTTTGACGAGTGTGAGACGTAGCCAGCAGCAGCCACACAAAGAGTTTATGCGCTTCCTTGAATCTATGAGAAGAAGGGTTTTTGGAAATATAATTATTAAATTTTCCGCTAAAAAAATTGTTTACCAGTAAATAAAAGACGAAGAGATATGTTGAAAATATCAAAACTATATAATTTCATATGGAAAATAAGAAAACAGTCAGGTACGTATATATATCTCGTGTGCTATGGGCTTTGGAGGCCTAGCAATCACGGGTTTATGAGTCAAAGACAAGTTCATTTCCTTAGTAACCATATTAGACTTTATATTGAACTGTTTATGGTATCCCATCAATGAACCTATTGTGAACCTCTTTTTTTATAATTTTATTTTTTTGTTTGAATTTTCTTTTTTTTTAAAAAAATAAATTAATAAACTAATTAATAGTAAGCCACCACGTATCAGTGGGACCCAACCCACGATTTGTATTGATACGGGTTTATGGCAAAGAACTTTTGTGATACAAATTCACAAAAATCTCATTTTATATTAATTTTTTTTTTGGGTTTGCGTGTGAACCTCCATTGTGAACATTCAGTGAGAGTGCTCTTAGTTAAACCATGTAATTTAACTATTAACTTAAATACTACCGTCTACACGGTTTAGTTAATTTAGTTATCAACTTAAATGCTAGTATACTACAGTTTATATGAATATGAAATATTATACTGTATGTATTACACTTTATGATTTACACGGTTTAATTAAACCAAACTAAACCGTTCAATAGAGTCTTAATAAAATAGAATAATTATAGTAAAACAAAGAAAAACCAAATTACTTTCAACTTGTTGTAAAGTTGTGCTTCTTGATTATTTGGGTTCGAGGCACAAGAGTCTGAAGAGTTTTTTTTGTCAAAGTGTTATATTCTAATGTTAATTTGAATCGTCTCCTGATGTTTGTTCAATCAGACTGATTGTCATCCAAAATGAATCTGGTTAGTGTTTTTTTTCTAAAGAGAGATGACTTCTCTATTAGTATTTTTGCTCATAGAAAAGAACACAATTTGTCAGTACTGTAAATTTTCAGCCATATCTTTTTTTTTACAATTGATTTTTTACGCTATACAATCTATAACACATAAACATACAAACACTTTCGAAATAAAGAAAGCAAAGAGTAAGGTTTTTTCTATTCTTTATCTTCCATCTCAATGCTTCTTTGTTTCTTTTTCAGCCTAAAATTAAGAGAGGAATCAAGTTTAAAATCCAAAATATGTATTAGATATCTCTATAAAAAATGAGAATCAGAATAATATATACCGCTTTGATTGCTTTCTCAACCGAGTCCCATCCAAACCGGTCAACATAATCCTGAACTGATTTTCTAGCATCAAGACTCATCATCTGTAAAACTCTTCTCTGTTCATCTGTATAATTCGTTCCTTCTCCAATATGCATCCCAAACTGAACGTATTTTCTTACAAAATTGGAGTAAATGTAAGCTGCACCACTGAACATTGGTAACACCAACCACATGCAGAACAAAAGTTTCAAGTATGGCCAAAACGGTAGCCTGCAAAATGCCCAAAGAGAACAAGTAATATTTTATTAGTCTTTATAACATATTATAGTACTTGTATATCTAAATTCTTAACATAATTTTAAGAGGAGCATCGTTATTATTACCAGGCAAGGACTCTCCAAACGGATAACTCGAATATTGTAATTAAGGAGTAAATGATCCAATATGTAAGCCATTGTTGATCATCTAACATCGTTGGACTCTCTATTGCTCGTAACGATGCATACCTACTCATTAGTTATGAGTTAATAATTATTTATGTTTATATATAACCATGCATGATTAAACTTTCAGAAATTGATTTCACTTACAAAGGATAGAGAAGCATAACTCCCGGCCTGCATGCACCAAGAACAGGAAGATGTTAAATAGACTTGACAAATCTTATAAGACAAAAAATTTCATGAAAAACATACCCAATCAGAGCATCAAAACGTTTTGCAATTACAATAATGACACCCATTTTTTTGAGCGTTTACTCTGTCTGTTCTTATAAGATTTTGTTCTTTTTGTTTTTCTCTTTGAACAAACGTCTGTAGCACTGTGGCGTTGGATATATACACAAAAGTTAAAATTTTCTTCAAGCAAGAATCTTTTTGTAAATAAGGTAACAAGCAAGGTAAAGAATCTCCAACCCATTGATACATTTCATGAAACTTATATATTTCTTCTATGTTCTAAGAAAAGAAGAAAATATCGGAGTAATTGCTGGTGAAAATTTCACATGAAGGGAAGTCTAAAGTATTAGGTTTAGTATAACTCTCTCCATTCTTCAAATAATATTTTAGTATTCATTTTATTTTGTAAGATATTCTTTTCTTTGTAAACAAGGGTTAGTCATCAATAAATCATGCATTAATTACTGATATTGGACGTATTACACAAGTTGATAATGATCATCTAGTCTGCGGCTTTGTGAAATTTGGGCAATTTACTTGTCTAATCTGAGTCTTTATACTATCTTTCTTACCCATGTTGGCCATGTACATATATACTTGTCTTCATTCAATTAAAATTCATTAGTGATCATTTTATGTGTGAAAGATTAATATTTATTGTCACTGAGCTGGTAAAAGTAACATTTATGTTACCTCTCCTTTTACGCAACTATATAGTTCTATTTTCATTACCATCTTATTTGATAAGGAGTTTTTTGTCACTGGGCTAGTAAATAATCACCCAATATGCAATGTATTGTTTCACGCTAACTCTCAAGGAAAGAGAACTAGAGAATTCAAATTTCAAAGCATTTTAAGAAAATTTGCAACGAAAGTGAATCAAAGTCCTTCCTGAAATTATTTTTGCACAATTTAAAGCTTAATTTCTAACGAATGTAGAAATATATATATGTGTGTTGTTCGTGAAGAAAATTGAATAGAAAGTAAGTACAAGAAAAATGACGGGGTATGGGCAAAACCAAAAAGAGTTGATTAGTTGCCTTTTGTAACCTATACATTAATTAATGCAAATCTATGAAAGGGTTTATGGATAATGACTATACATATGATCAGTAATCGCCCGTGGGCTCTCTGCTCTCATTTACTTGATTAGTTTCATATTCCCTAATTATATTGTCGTCTACATGATGCAGTTTCTTGCTTAAATTAATATGTGGAAGATGTTACAGCAAAACAATAAACCTCTAATATTTTCAAGTTGCCGTTGGACTAACCCATTTTCCAAAATAAGACACTCGAACATAAATTTAGGAAAAGACGAAACCAGTTCAGCTATATAAACTCTTAGATTGCCATTTTATCAAGCAATTTACTCTTCAACAAACCATTATTATTTATTGTTAGGAATTATATGCACACATTTATTCTTAAGTTCTGCGTTTGATTTTACCTTTTTAGTCTAAGAATACTACTGTTATATGATTTCTTATTTAACTTGAAAATCATCTAAACATCCACACAAATTCAAAATGTATAAAAGAGAATTAAGCCTGAATTCTCATTCATTGGCTCTCATGATTATGATCAATTGTAAGACTTCGAATACAACACCACTATCAAAGGAGCAAATTCTTATCATATCATGTCAGTTGGTTTAAGTTTGGTTTAATTGGAATACATAATAATTCAAAAATATAATAACAATAATATAATGCCAGCTTAATGTTAAATATTAATGCAGGAGTAGGACAATAAAAAGAAAAGGTGAAATAAAAAAGGATTTACCAAAAAAGGAGAATTTTCAAAAGTTGATTCTGATGAGAAACAGAGCCCATACCTCTCTTTTTTTCCCTAGACATGAAAGAAAAATTGGATGGTCCTCCTTCAATGCTCTCTCCCACCCAATCCAAACCCAACTCTCTTCTTTTTTCAACTTTGATATTTTCTGAATTGCCATCAATTTTCAATATACATAGATAATTAAAATAATCAGGTACAAGATTTTTGGAAATAATTTTGTTTTAGAGTAATGGTCCATTTTCTTTATTTATTTTTATTTTATAACATTTGGGTTTGAAAACTACCAAACCTTCTGTGTTCTGCAAGTGGGGTTTAAAATACTTTCAAGGAAATATTCCTTTAAGAGAAAATGTAAACCAAAACAGAAATCAAAACAAAAATAAAGTTGGAAGAAGCAGTTAAGTGGTACTGAATTAATAAGAATAGTATCTCTATGCAAAAACTAATTCTCTTAGCTAGATTTCATCTTCCCCATCTCACTTTTCTTTTCTTTTTTATCACAGTTTATACATATCCAGGTATACTATTGATAGGATGCACTAAATAAACCTAAAGTTTCAAATTTCGTAATAAAATGTTCTTCCTTTTTTTCTTCATTTAATCCTTAAATCTTGGAGTACATTAAGGCTTTTGTTTTTCACTTAATATTTTAAACCCCATTTTTTGTAATCAAAGGTTCTTGATTTTCTCATTAAAATCTTAGTAGCTATATAAGTCTGAGTGCAAAATGATCTGATCTGATCTTTCTTTCTCTCTATAACTTGTGTGTAGTGTTTGATTGTGTTTGGTATACTTGAAATGTATAGGGTTGATATAAATGGAAGGTGGTGCGAGTGATGAAGTAGCAGAGAGCAGCAAGAAGATAGGGAGAGGAAAGATAGAGATAAAGAGGATAGAAAACACTACGAACCGCCAAGTCACTTTCTGCAAACGACGCAATGGTTTGCTCAAGAAAGCTTATGAGCTCTCTGTCTTGTGTGACGCTGAGGTGGCTCTTGTCATCTTCTCCACTCGAGGTCGTCTCTACGAGTACGCTAACAACAGGTAAGATTATACTTTCTATTTAACTTCTTCAGATCTTGATTGTTTGTGTGTTCTCTGGATTTTTCAATTATCTTTATGGTTTCTCTTTTGTGGTTTTTTTCTCTCTTCTTCTAAAGTTTCTCTGAGCCTCAAGTCTTTGTTTAAAGACTTTGATTTATATGGTGTGTACCAAAATTAGGGTTTGTACCCAGGAACCCTAGTTTTGCTTTTGGGAAACTCTGGTCTCTTTTCTTCTCTCTCTTGAAAAAAAAGCTGTGAGGTTCTTCTGTGATAATTAATTAGTATCCCCATACCTTGTACCGGTAACTTTTTCTTTTACTAGATCTTTATAGTACAGCCTATCTATATGTATCTATGTATGTCAGTTCTACATGACATTTCGATAAATTTGATGACCCATCAGGTTCATTTCTGCAGATTGATCATATTTAGGTTTCTATCATATAAAGTTTTATAAAATATAGTTTTATATGCCATATAAAGCTAAGTAGATTCCTTAAAAATTGATACACTAGCTAGGGGGAACTAGGGTGTTTTGTCTTCTGACACTTCTCTAAAAAATCAGTGATTTGGTCTGTTAAATCAAGAAATGTTTAGGGGACAAAGCTTGTGGTTGTGTCACTAATTAATCTTCCATCAATCAAGAGGAAAAAAAACACAGAAAATCTGACTTTTGGTTATTATTTTTTCCCACTCCAAGTTGGGGACTAGTCATTTCCAGTTCTATCAAAGTTTCCAGCTATTAACAGCTAATGTTCTTTTCGACATTTTGATTGTTTTAGAAATATTAATCTGCTGATTTTTGGTTGGTTAATATTACAGATAAGTTGATGATCTATACTCTAATTTTCTTAAAGTCAATGTTTGATATCATGGATCTAATTAGATGCAACTAGAAAATTTGTAGTTACAATGTAAACTTCACAACAACTAAAGAATTTTTTTTCATTCTTTACCAACGTGTAAATATTCTATATATAGTAAATGTGTATGTGACATCACGATCTTTTAAAAGTACTTTTAATTAAATACTCAAGCAATCTGATTAGCATGCAGAAGAGGAATGCATTAGGTCTAAGTATGTAGAAATTTGTAATTTCTAGGTTTCTATTTTTAAATGCGTAACTAAAATTCACACTATCTTACTTATTTTAACGTCCTCATGCTTTAATGCCTTTTGACATTTCTCAACCTCAACTTTCCATCATACATCACAAATTAAATGGTGAAAATGATAACGTATCATACACAAATATGTTTAGCTATCTTTTCTCATTTTTTAAGGATTTGGGAATTTCACTTTCCTGATTAAAACAGTAATTGCCTCAAATTAATTTCATTCATATAAACATGTTGTAGTACTAACTAAAACTCTAATCCCGGTATGGTATTTATTATAAATTTATGATAGCCCAAAGATATATATTATATGGGGATTCGTAAATCTAGTAGTGTTTTTGATCAACCTAAACGGAATTTTTGATTTTGTATTATATGAAAATTTGGACACATTGTTAGACATTCTATTCTTAAGAAGCTTATAATAAGGTTTCATATTGATGGTATTTTTAATTTTCCTTACCACCAAAATAAATGAACAAAATGAAATTAGATACCGATACATTACGTACATACAAACAACAAACACCAAGGGACTAAAAAGACCTAACTCATACAACGAACCTAGTTTTGATATATCAAATGATCCATAAATGCAACTTTAATTGGGTCAAATCAATCGCTAGATATATTAATCATGTGTATACATAGATAAAGATGTACTTTGTTGGATATATTTATTAGATGTTTTTGCCTCTAACCTTCTAATTTACTGTCTCTCGTATTTTCCTTTTTTTTTTGTGAATGTTGATAAAAAGTGTAAGAGGAACGATTGAAAGGTACAAGAAAGCTTGCTCCGACGCAGTTAACCCTCCTTCCGTCACTGAAGCTAATACTCAGGTAAGCTTCCTTAATTAGTTAATTAATTAACCACTACTTTTCTTCTTATTCACCAAGTTCCAATTTCATTTTCTGACTTTATTTAATCCCTTGTGGGGTCAAACACTTGATGAAGTACTATCAGCAAGAAGCATCTAAGCTACGGAGACAGATTAGGGACATTCAGAATCTGAACAGACACATTCTTGGTGAATCTCTTGGTTCCTTGAACCTCAAGGAACTCAAGAACCTTGAAGGTAGGCTTGAGAAAGGCATCAGTCGTGTCCGCTCCAAGAAGGTTAATAACTTTCCTTTCCTTCAATCCCTTATATGCTTCAACTTGATCTGATTCTTGACCCTTACGTTTAATTCTTGGCCCCAGCATGAGATGCTAGTTGCAGAGATAGAGTACATGCAAAAAAGGGTAATTAAAAGACATATCTTCCTCAACAAGTAACCCTATTTTCTATAACAGTCTTTTCTTTCAAACCATGACTCTCTTTTTTGTTCATGTAGGAAATCGAGCTTCAAAACGATAACATGTATCTCCGATCCAAGGTCTTATCTTATATGTACTTCTTGTTATAGTATCAGTTTTATTTTTCTCACAATATTTATAAGTTTTATTATATATTTTTGTGCAGATTAGTGAAAGGGCGGGAATGCAGCAGCAGGAACCGAGTGTGATACATCAAGGGACGGTTTACGAGTCATCGTCTCATCAGTCGGAGCAGTACAACCGGAATTATATTCCGGTTAACCTTCTTGAACCGAATCAGAACTCCTCCGACCAAAACCAACCACCTCTCCAACTTGTTTAAGTAAAGTTTAATCAAGCATATAATAAGCTTCTTATGCATATGTCTATTCATGTTACACTTACGGCTAAAGAACTTAAAATAAAGACGGGTAACGAATTTGAGAGAGACCTAAGTTACTTTTATGTACCTTCGATTATTTATATGTAATGTATTATGAACGTTCCAGCTAGTAACTTTAAGACAAGAGACTTAAACTAACTAATGCAAGAATTTAATTAAACCAGAGAGAACGTAGATCGTACCTTGTGATTACTATAATTATAGACAAGACCAATGAAACACAAAAGAAGTTTGTGGATTTCAGAGTCTTGCATGCCAAGTAAGGTCTTTGACAGCGAGTTACTAAAGCTGGTGGTAGAAACTAGCAATCCTCAGATTAACACTGATGCAGCGTATCACCACCTTCACGCCATCTTTGTGTTGCAGGCTTTACTTGGATGGCAAGTTATTTATTTTCCTTTTATTGTTAGGATTTGGAAAGAGTTAAATTTCCCTTTTACTCTAGGTTTTGCTACATTCGTTTGATATAAATAGGTTACGTGATCAACCTTTGTGATCACGATCAATTCAACTAATAAGAT